GAACCAACGCGGTAATTCCAAATATTTAATTACGCCTAATGCCACCTAGCGGGTAGCTGAAAAAGATAGTACATAGTACCACTACTCGCCACTAGATGTCGTTAAGTGTCACAATACACAATAATAATTGAAATGCAAAAAAAGCGTAAGTTTGCTTAGGTCACGCACTTTGCGACTATCCTAGTCTAGAAATATAGTTAAGGGCAGAAATTGGCACTTGGAACAAACTGAAAAAATCATTATGGCCCGAAGGTTTCAAAGTTTGGAGACCTCTGGCTGGAACATCGAAGAAAGGTTGGATATTTGTCTCTCTTTTATACATACTTTCACGGGAAGTGTTTATAAGTGACTCAGCACATTCGATTCCACCAGGAGAGGTACATATCAGAAATACGCGACAGACTGTGGATGCTCATAGTTGAGGTTGAACTCAGTTTACTTCGAACTCCACTGTTCAAGAACCCTTTCATTTGGAGAACTGCGTTTATATAGAGGAAACTTCCTGAGAACGTTTTCCCAAATGGATTTAATCTCCAGCGAATAAACTCCAACGTGAATCGCTACTTTCGCATCGCTCTTAGATCACCTTAAGAATTTTCCTGTAGTGCTTGTGTTTTGAAAAAAAAATATGAATTAAGACATGAAGTTTTTGGCAGCAATTTTATATTCTGACCACTACAGATGGATTAGTGTTTTAGGTTTTCTTGTGATCATCATATATAAATACATGAAAAATAAGTGTAGACAAAAGTTTTAAAAAAGAACCAAAATTTTCATCGTCAAAAACTCCTTCAAATATTATCATCCACCTACAATATTCTTTCTCAATCTGGAGTAAGTGATACATTCCTGATTGATATATTTGTTTTCATTTGAGAGTCAGTCATTTCTGTCACATGTATTATATCTGGACCAACATTTTGCATATGAACGTGGCACATTGAAAAACATATGTTCTAATCACGTTTTTCACTTCATACTCGAGTAGTCTATCTGTCCCGAACGGCTGTTCATCGATCCATCTGGTCTCATTCAATCTGTCCCGATTTAATGTTGATATAATTTCAATTAAACATCAGATCTGAAACACGTTTCAGCTGAAGGTGAATACAATTTTGATAGAGAAAAGCATTATCTATAGAGAGATTTCCTGCATTCACCAAGTCTCAGCATGTTTATATATCGATTTTGAAGGCTTCTACTGCATCAGCTCTATGAAATTATCACGAAACTTGTATTCAGTGTTCCATCTCAGTGAGTTTCCCAATAGTTGAGAATTCACTTGAGTCAGAGATAGTTTATATTTTCAAATTCTTCAACAAAAAAAAGGCAAAAAGTATCCAGGCACATATACCGATATCAAGGAATATAAAATTCATAAAACAAAATTTAACGTTGAGTATGAGGATTTTTTTTCGTTGAAATGAAGGTGTGAAAGCAAAAAACTCTCACATGAGAAAAAGTAACCTAACCTCAGCTGACTTCAACACAAGCCCAATCTTACCAAAATCCTAATTATCTCCACAACAATTGCTCAAAATTTGTCTCTCAGCTGAATGCAACTTAAACATTACCGCAATTTAACCTTATCTGAGCCGTGTTAGGAATCGCACATTGAAAGGTAAGACCTCGGTAATCCTCAGCTCGCACAAGTTTCGACTTCTGAGGGTTGTCGTTCGTTGGGGTGCGACAGCTGGTTAACGGAAAAACAGATCATGCATCTCATTTTAACAGTTGAAATTTCCTCCCATAGGTTCAACATGTAACCTCAAAAGTCATATGGCTTTCAACGTTCGTCATTATTGACAGTTTGTCACATTTTTTGTCCGACATGACTTTTGAGGACAAGAAACTCTCAGAAAATTAGATCTAACTCGACTCAAGTCAAATCCAAACCAAACCTAACGTAACCCAATCTAACCTAAACTCTAATCATCCATTTCATTTTCACAATTGAAATGTTCTTTCATAGGTTCAACATGTAACCTTGAAACTTATATGGCTTTCAACGTTCGTCAACGAAGATCGTTAACATGGACTCTTTGTTTTAATTTTTGATCGTAATGTGTTTTGAGGACAAAAAACTACCAGCCAAATGCAACCTAAACCTAACCTATCCCAATCTAACTCAAACCCTAATCATCCATCTCAGTTTTACAGTTGAAATTTTTTCCCATGGGTTTAACACGTAACCTCAAACGTCATATGGCTTTCAAGGTTCTTCATCGAGCATCGTCAAAATGAACTTATTTGCCTTTTGTGTGACTGCCTCGTATTCAAATGAAAATATCTCTAATATTTTTTGCACATTTGAATTACACAATTTCAATTAATGTCTTAGGAATAATCGCGAAATTGAGACCATCGCGCGATAAAATAAATTCCAGCTGCCTCACGAACTGATGCGACACGCGTGATGAAGAGAGGTTGCAAATGCGTTGGTTTTGTTTCACGAACTGTATTACTCAGAATGTTACGGTTGTATTTTTTGAGCTGTCTCTAGGTAGATTGGTATTCACCTCTTTTTCAAATTGAAATTGATAATTGTGAACATAGTTTCGTTCGTGGTTATTATTATCAGTTACAAGTTGTTGCCATGCTTTGTCAGAAAAATAGGGTCTTTCATTAATAAATGACAACTAATTTGACAGATGTAGCTTCGCTTGTCAATATTCGGAAGTCCCTGTTGGAAGGACACTATATATCCTGCAAAGCCGAGTCGTGTCGTTATAGTTATTACTGAATCAGAATGAATTAAAAAACTAAATCGAATCTTCAGTAATTTCAACATTTCAGCCCATTTAGTTAGCCAAAAATTCTGGAGCAGAATTCTTGTAATGATTGTGAAAATGTCCAAGAACCCAAATGGATCAAAGATAGTCATCACTGTTCTCGAGACGTCTCTTTTTATATCAGGTGCTTTGTTCAAGTTGTGAAGTTCATCCTCATTCAATTTAATTGAAAAACCCAATTTGTCTTCATCAGGATTCCAAATCAAACCTAGAATCCTCCGAATGAGTATTGATAATTCGTTTTTCAAATCCATTTCTTTTTGATTTATAGCTCGATATTCATCTGAATGGTTTTCAAGAGTTTTCCTGAGTTACTCGACCAATTTCGAATGATGAAACCTCCTGTGTCACTATTTTCCGAGTTTGAAGGCTTTGAATTTTTCGAATTTTTTCCTGACGTTTCACTAGCGGGAGTGGCTAGCTTCCTCAGAAGTTTATTCAGCCTGAGTTAATATTCAGCCGTAATATCCAGTCATCGGAAATATCCACTCAGGTTGTATAGATTTCTGAGGAAGCTAGCCTGTCACGCCAGCGGAACATCAGGAAGAAATTCCAAAAATCCACGGCGTCCAAACCCGGAAAAAGTGATACTAAAAACCTTGGCCACAAAAGCCTTAACCATTTTTTCATGAAAACTCCTCATCCTTCTTCTTTGATACACCAGATGTGAGTGTTTTAGCCTCTTATACCGTATCGAAACTGCCCAAATAATCGCCAACATAATGGCAATCTGTAATAGCTCTTACAGCTTCTGGGAACTTTTATCTGAATTCTAGTGCTTTTCTCACCAACACGAATTGAGAAAAAATCACTTCAAATGTCATAGAAATCATCTCATATTTTTCAGGATTTGTTCCATTGTATACTTATCTTACATTAGTACTGGTCAAATTGGAAACTGAGGATATTTGAGAAACCTTTTTGACAAACGTTTCTCTATACGTTAGCTCACAGAAACGAGATCAGATCACCATTTTAGAGAGCATGTGAATACAAATCAATGGTCATTTTACCCTATGCTCTCATAAGCAAAATATATTTTTTTATGAATACCTGTATGTTATTCAGGTTTCAGTTCTACAGAACTGGTAATATTCCACCAAAAGTGCACAGAAATAATTATTTCCACTGTAAATGGGTAACTACTAGACGATAATGTTATTATTATCGTTCTGCATCCATAATTACTCAAAAATCTATGAAAAATAAACATGAACGTTGATAAGTATAACTTTTATTAACAACTTGTGACAATTGCTTCGTTGAAAGAAAAAATTAAAATTATTCCCAAATTAACGTACTGTATATATATGACTGCATTTCACCATTTTCATCGTGATTATCCGTGATATATATCTTCTTGAATCAAATCTATCCAGTCATAGCACTAACTGCAAAAAATATTCATATGTCAGCATTTCTAAGAGGAATCTTGCTGACCAACTCACCTATCATTTTTCCAGCTTCTTTGACAATGGGTTGGATTATGTGACTCGTTCCTGGAAAATGAAAATAAATATATAAAGCACGAAGGGGGCGATAATGGAAAAGTTATCCGGAAAAATTACTCCTAAGGTCTAAATGTTTTATCAGTGGTTTTCGAATATAGAACTAACATGAAAGATATAAATCAATATGATTTTAATGGCAATAACTTATAAAAAATCGTTCTACTTCGCTTTGGATAACTGAGATTTCCGAACACCACAGCTAAACAATCGTTTGTTGAAGCCATTTTTTGGTACTTTGCTCAGACAGCTCCTGTATTTTTTCATTTCTATTCAATTCATTTTCTGATTCAACCCATTTTCTGATCTGGTTTCGTATCAATGATTTCGGTAGCTACGCAGCTGGCTTGAGGTCCATATGCAAAGATTGATTATTCATGTCTAGTACTCTTGTCGGCTCAGTATGGTATATCGAAGTCTCATTCACGACTGACTAGGATTCAAGTTCACATTTAAATCGATTGTTTTTATATGGGAATATTGCTATAGGCTTCATGGACTGGGTTACTTAACAGTATTGGTTATCTTAACCTGGGTTAGTATACCTAATGGTTAGTATCAACATATTCATGAAATTACTATGCACTCAATTGTAGGTTAGTGGAGTTAGTGGGTTTCTCATGGTCCTTGGGCATTGCGGTTCTTGTTCCATGAGTGGTGTTGTCCTAAAACAAAGTTCGGAGCATCGTCCGGATATAGTAGCTGGTGGTCGATTGATGGCGGGTCATGGTTCAGGTAAGCCTGGGGTGAGGACAGGCGAGTATGGCGAACTTTAGTGTGGCTCCGGACTGTGGACCGTCCACTACCCGATCTCCAGCGGGAACTCATCGATGATGTCCTGGAATTCCTCCGATACTAGCATTGACAGTGTTTACTCGTATTCATACTAGTTGAGGATTGTATGGGTGGGTCGTAAACAAGATGCTCACTTCTACTTAGTCTGCACGTGGACTAGGCGGTTCTGTTTGGTCCAAATTGTTGAAAGATATGCTGCTGATGGAATGCCGATAATAGTTTCATTTTAGTCCATTTTTGTCCTTTCTGAGTGGTAGATCTACGTTCCATCAACAACGTAGACCAATCAAAACAACCTAGTTTCAAGTGCGAACGAATCGGAACTGAGCACTATCATGGATATCTCACCCCCACTAGGATAAAAGAAAGTGAAAACGAAGCAATCCACATACTACCTTCCAGTTGACCCCTTTACCTCTGGATAGATTCACCGTAGTAGTAGAGAAAACGCTTGGTACTATGATGATTATTGTTATTTATAAATATACAGTATCAGTGCCTCATTATTAGCATCTATGTTGTTTAGTAGATGCTCTGTTCAGCACCAATGTTGCCTTCATCTTTATCTTCAACCCGTCCGGATGGTGGTGCTAAGTTAGAATGGAATCTTGTGTCAGTCACAGATATTTGAATTACTCACACGAAGTTTTGAAAAACCTAGTTCATCTATCCTAATCCTCTCGATGAATATTACTATGGTCGATTTGAAGGGATAGATAAGTCAAGTGTGTGTAACAAGCATCAGTATTTCATTCGAAAATTGCAACCTCTCAACCTGAGAACTCCTGATACGTTCAGTAAATCCCCAAAAGTTTATAAATATAAAAATTTAAGTATACTGATTATTCCCAATGGAACACACTAATCAAAAGCTGAACCATACTGCCACCAAATGACAAATTACTTCGTCTCGATCATTTACCTTCTTTATCGTCTTCTTCAGAGGAATCCTTTTTTTTCTCGATAGCTCTTGTCAACGAACCTGCGTAAGAACAAAACTAGTTAGTGTGTGCTAGGTATACTTTTCAGCAAGAACTAAATTATTGATTCCAATTTATCGAAACGAATAATTGGATGAATAGCGGTAAACATTCTGTCACTCAGGCGTTAAATGAGCTACCTCTAATAATGGGCACTGCAGTATTGCCTGGAAGAGTTCTTTTATTGCTAATACCAGCGCTTCGTTATGAAAAATGTGCAATTGGAGGCATTCGGTAGAAATAAACCTCTAACAAATTCACATGAAAGAACTGGAAACATATTTTGAGCGAATGGAAAACTTCGAAGTGGAAACGATCAGCTACTATTAGGTTGTTCAAAAAGTCCTGTCCGTTTTTATGAGTCTGCTTTGAACTGCAATATCTCTGTGAATAGTGACTCAATTCGATTGAAATGAGCGGCATTTGAATCAATGCACTTTTATCAACGTAAAACAAGTCGATTGATATCGTCAATATGAAGATTGTGTGCTCAGGATTCGATGAAATCGACAAAGGCCGTTTTGCCTGGTCCTGATTCGCGAAGGTTCTGCCTGTGAGGAAGTTATCGGAATGCTCAAAAATATGGTAGTCGGTCGGCAAGAGGTCTGGAGAGTATGGTGCGTGAGGCAGAACTTTGGCGATCAATTCATTTATTTTCGAACGATGATTTGTGAAACGTGCGGACGGCGTTGTTGTGGAGCAGGACCGGACCTCTTCTGTTGACCAGTGCTGGCTGCCACTGACGCTATTTTCGGTAAATTTTGTCGATATCCTCACAGTAGGATTCTGCTCTGATGGGTTGAAGAAGAGAATCACATCAGCCGCTGACCACCACTTTTTCGAAGACAAAACACAAGCACTACAGGAGAATCCTTAAGGCGCTGTGACAGCGGTGCCTGTGCGAAAGTAACGATTCACATTGGATTTGAATCGCTGGAGATTGAATCTATTTGGAAAAACGTTCTCAGGCAGTTTATTCCATCCATAGAAAAATAGACATTCATCAATCCAAAATTATCTAGAGTGTTTTTCAATTGTTTGATTGAGTAATATGCGGAATTGAGTTTGTTGCAGACCTTCTGGATATGACCGCTCCAGGTCAAACTTTCGTCTAAAGACGTTCCTAAAAACAAGACTTCGCTGGAAGATCGAATACCATTTATTGTGGAAGAGTCACTGCTGAAATTTTTTCTAATAAATGATATCTACGTAGACTGTTTATTTACAGTTTCAGCTGTTCAGTTTGTTGATGAGGGGCATAAAAGTTAGAAGTGTTTTGCGTGTTCAGCGATTTCATACTATCTAAATAAATGCATCAAAGAATTTGCATCAGATTTTGTATAAAACGTGTATAAAAATTGTGTGAGCTCAAAAACACTCGAAATGTTGTCAGTGGCATACGGTGACTACTCTCAATTGAAAAAAAATTACAAGTGTAACAAGCCTTTCACAGAAGGTCGAGAAAATGTAGATTACGACGCTTGCCCAGGACACTTCAGCACATCAACAACCTGTGAAAAAGTTGAGAAAGTGAAGAAAATTGTCAGAAAAGTTGCTGAGGAGGTCGGCATATTGGTTCTCTCATGCCATGCAATTTTTTTGTAAATTTTGAGCTTCATGCGCCTCACAGCAAAGTTTGTATCAAAATTACTGAATTCTAACCAAAATCTACCGTAGCATGAGCTCAGGAATTAATGAATGACCTCAACGGCGATCCAGATTTGCATAAAAGAGTCATAACTGGTGACGAATCATGAGTATATGGTTATGACATCGAAACTAAATTCCAGTCATCCCAATGGAAGAACCAAGCAGAGCCAGGACAAAAAAAAAGCAGACCAAGTTTAATTAAATGTCAAGGTTTTGCTCATTGTTTCATTGTGTTACCATGGCATAGTGCATAGGAGCTCTTGTCACATGATCATACGGTTAGTAAGGAGTATCATCTTGAATGTTTGCGCCGCTTGCGAGAAGTAATACGAAGGAAACATCCGGTCTTGTGGAGAAACTACTCCTGGCTTCTGAATCTCGAAAATGTACCTGCTCACTCGTTACTCGTTCGGAATTTTTGACCATTGACGTCATGTTTTTTTAAATGATGTTTTTTGAGATACTCTGTACACATTAACGCCATGTTTTTTTCTTTAGCGTTGGCAACCATGTTTTTTTTCCGCGGCACTTCCTGTATATGATTTGATTGGTGTATTTTGAAACAACACTCTGTATACCTAATGTATTTCGACAAACAGTCGCCATGTTTTTTTTCTTCAAAACCGCACATACCCTGTATACCTCATGACGGCTATGTTTTTTTCTTGCTTTAACGCAGGCAGCCATGTGTTTTCTTTAACGATACACACACCTTGTACACCTCAATGACAATCATTTTTTTAATGCTAGCAACCATGTTTTTTTTCTTCAACGCTGCACACCCTCTATAGCATTGGATTGATGTGTTTCGAAACAACACTCCAGATCACTAAGACTAAGAATCAAATGGGAAATGGGAAAAAATACCAGCGTGGTTCAAACATAACTGGCTGGTATGTCAATCGCCACGAAAGAAATGACCAAAAAAGAAATTTCTGGCAAAGACATAGCAATCTGCACTGATAGCAGACAAGTCCTATTAGCCTTGAACAGGGCTACCTCAGCCCTCAGGGCTAGTACCTCAGGGCTAGTACTAGAGTGCCACCAAAGTTCAGCCAAAGCCTCGGTAGATAATAACATTATCCTGGGGTGGATTAAAGGACACGGCAGAAATAAAGGTAATCGCATTGCCGACTCTTTAGCGAAGGAAGCGGCTGGACTGACAATTTTAGGACCCAGTGGCACCTACGGCCTGATGACTCCAACAATTGCGGAACTAGCGAAACGTTACACCCATGCTCAATCCCTAAAGAGATGGGATGAAATCAAAGGACGCAATCCTGCGAGAATCACCCTTGGCGACCCTGGGAAGCTGGCGTTGAAGAAATATCTGACGATTACCAGTAAAAATCCACGCTCAACAGTAGGATCTCTGACTGGCCACTGCCATCTAAGGAAACACCTCCGTAATATGGGGCTAGTGGACACACCTCTATGCAGGATGTGTGAACAGGAAGAATACCTAGATATTCTACTTTAAAAAAGGAAAATTAACCTTATGAATCAACAATTGAAGCAAAATATAAATTATAGTTCAATACCAACTCCACAAGCCACATAAACAACAGTTGTTTTGTTATTTATTTATATAGAGGAAGATAGATTAGGTGCACAAAATGTCATTTGTCACAGAATATCCTCTGAAATATGCCATCTTTGTTTGTCTCGTACAGGTAACAGATTCATTGTCCTTTATTAGCTATAACCAATGTTGTCAAATGGTGAAATAGAAACGAATCCCTTCAAATGTTGAATGCATTATTTCATTTCTCTTTTTGAAGTATTTAAATAATTTTTTAAAGAAAAATGTTGAAATGATAAGTTTAAAATGCGTTGTTTTAGAGCTCTTCAATGAAAACTACTTGATTTTCGTCAGGAGGAACATTCCCCATTGCCCCAATGAGTTTGTTTATTGAGTTTATTGGTAATACCACCAGCGCTTCGTTATATAAAATGTGCAATTGGAGGCATTCGGTAGAAATAAACCTTTAACAAATTCACATGAAAGAACATATTTTGAGTTCTGTCCGTTTTTGTGAGTCTGCTTTAAACTGCAATATCTCAGTGAATACTAATTCAATTCAATCGAAATAAGCGCCATTTGAATCACTGCACTTCCACCAACATGACACATGTCGATTGATCCCGTCAGTATAAAGAGTGTATGCTCGGGATTCGATGAAATCGGAAAAGGCCGTTTTTGCCTGGTCCTGATTGGCGAAGGCTCTCTACAAAAACACATGACAGGATCCATGTCGCCATACTTATTTGTGATACTCTCTTTAAGTTATTTTCAAACTCAGATATTTGCCCCTGTGTCTCTCAGAACCTGTGATTCCGTAGGAACAGAAAAACCAACTTCTCAGTTGTTGCATCCCAAATATATTATCTCCTCTTCGAGTCTCCTTTATGGCGTCCTGCATTTTCCATCTCTATTCGAATGTTACAAACCTTCTGCAGCGTTTCAGATTGTGTGCTTGGACACGTGGACACGTGTAGTGTCCAGTTCAATACCAATTATGAAATGTCCTACATAAATTTCAATCATTNCATCCTTCTTCTTTGATACACCAGATGTGAGTGTTTTAGCCTCTTATACCGTATCGAAACTGCCCAAATAATCGCCAACATAATGGCAATCTGTAATAGCTCTTACAGCTTCTGGGAACTTTTATCTGAATTCTAGTGCTTTTCTCACCAACACGAATTGAGAAAAAATCACTTCAAATGTCATAGAAATCATCTCATATTTTTCAGGATTTGTTCCATTGTATACTTATCTTACATTAGTACTGGTCAAATTGGAAACTGAGGATATTTGAGAAACCTTTTTAACAAACGTTTCTCTATACGTTAGCTCACAGAAACGAGATCAGATCACCATTTTAGAGAGCATGTGAATACAAATCAATGGTCATTTTACCCTAGGCTCTCATGAGCAAAATATATTTTTTTATGAATACCTGTATGTTATTCAGGTTTCAGTTCTACAGAACTGGTAATATTCCACCAAAAGTGCACAGAAATAATTATTTCCACTGTAAATGGGTAACTACTAGACGATAATGTTATTTCGTTCTGTATCCATAATTACTCAAAAATCTATGAAAAATAAACATGAACGTTGATAAGTATAACTTTTATTAACAACTTGTGACAATTGCTTCGTTGAAAGAAAAAATTAAAATTATTCCCAAATTAACGTACTGTATATATATGACTGCATTTCACCATTTTCATCGTGATTATCCGTGATATATATCTTCTTGAATCAAATCTATCCAGTCATAGCACTAACTGCAAAAAATATTCATATGTCAGCATTTCTAAGAGGAATCTTGCTAACCAACTCACCTATCATTTTTCCAGCTTCTTTGACAATGGGTTGGATTATGTGACTCGTTCCTGGAAAATGAAAATAAATATATAAAGCACGAAGGGGGCGATAATGAAAAAGTTATCCGGAAAAATTACTCCTAAGGTCTAAATGTTTTATCAGTGGTTTTCGAATATAGAACTAACATGAAAGATATAAATCAATATGATTTTAATGGCAATAACTTATAAAAAATCGTTCTACTTCGCTTTGGATAACTGAGATTTCCGAACACCACAGCTAAACAATCGTTTGTTGAAGCCATTTTTTGGTACTTTGCTCAGACAGCTCCTGTATTTTTTCATTTCTTTTCAACCCATTTTCTGATCTGGTTTCGTAGCAATGGCCTTAATGACAATTCCATATCCGGAAATCCTTCAATTTCGCTTCGAATAACCAAGATTTTCACCCCCTCTGCTGATCACTCTTTTGTTAAAGCAATTTTTGGGTTCTTTCCCCATTTTTCATTTCTATTCAACCCATTTTCTGATCTGGTTTCGTATCAATGATTTTGGTAGCTATGCAGCTGGCCTATATCCAAAGATTGATTATTCATGTCTAGTACTCTTGTCGGCTCAGTATGGTATATCGAAGTCTCAGTGACTGACTAGGATTCAAGTTCACATTCAAATCGATTGTTTTTATATGGGAATATTGCTATAGGCTTATGGCTCTTCAGGGACAGGGTTACTTAGCAGTATTGGTTGCCTCAACCTGGGTTAGTATACCTAATGGTTAGTATCAACATATTCATGATATTACTATGCACTCAATTGTAGGTTAGTAGAGTTAGTGGGTTTCTCATGTTCCTTGGGCATTGCGGTTCTTGTTCCTTGAGTTGTGTTGTCCTAAAACAAAGTTCGGAGCATGGTCCGGATATAGTAGCTGGTGCTCGATTAATGGCGGGTAATCGTCCAGGTAAGCCTGGGGTGAGGACAGGCGAGTATGGCAAACTTTAGTGTGGCTCCGGACTGTGGACCGTCCACTACCCGATCTCCAGCGGAAACTCATCGATGATGTCCTGGAATTCCTCCGAGACTAGCATTGACAGTGTTTACTCGTATTCATACTAGTTGAGGATTGTATGGGTGGGTCGTAAACAAGATGCTCACTTCTACTTAGTCCGCACGTGGACTAGGCGGTTCTGTTTGGTCCAAATTGTTGAAAGATATGCTGCTGATGGGATGCCGATAATAGTTTAATTTTAGTCCATTTTAGTCCATTTGTTCCTTCGTTCCAACGTAGACCAATCAAAACAACTTAGTCTCGAGTGCCAACCAATCGGAACTGGGTACTATCATGGATATCTCACCCCCACTATACCCTACTAGTATAAAAGAAAGTGAACACGAAGCAATCCACATACTACCTATCAGTTGACTCCTTTATTTCTGAATAGATTTACCATAGTAGCAGAAGAAACGCTTGGTGCTATGATGGTTATTGTTATTTATAAAAAGAGTACCTCATTATTAGCATCTATGTCGTTTGGTAGATGCTCTGTTCAGCACCAATGTTGCCTACATCTTTATCTTCAACCCGTCCGGATGGTGGTGCTAAGTTAGAATGGAATCTTGTGTCAGTCACAGATATTTGAATTACTCACACGAAGTTTTGAAAAACCTAGTTCATCTATCCTAATCCTCTCGATGAATATTACTATGGTCGATTTGAAGGGATAGATAAGTCAAGTGTGTGTAACAAGCATCAGTATTTCATTCGAAAATTGCAACCTCTCAACCTGAGAACTCCTGATACGTTCAGTAAATCCCCAAAAGTTTATAAATATAAAAATTTAAGTATACTGAGTATTCCCAATGGAACACACTAATCAAAAGCTGAACCATACTGCCACCAAATGACAAATTACTTCGTCTCGATCATTTACCTTCTTTATCGTCTTCTTCAGAGGAATCCTTTTTTTTCTCGATAGCTCTTGTCAACGAACCTGCGTAAGAACAAAACTAGTTAGTGTGTGCTAGGTATACTTTTCAGCAAGAACTAAATTATTGATTCCAACTTATCGAAACGAATAATTGGATGAATAGCGGTAAACATTCTGTCACTCAGGCGTTAAATGAGCTACCTCTAATAATGGGCACTGCAGTATTGCCTGGAAGAGTTCTTTTATTGCTAATACCAGCGCTTCGTTATGAAAAATGTGCAATTGGAGGCATTCGGTACAAATAAACCTCTAACAAATTCACATGAAAGAACTGGAAACATATTTTGAGCAAATGGAAAACTTCGAAGTGGAAACGATCAGCTACTATTAGGTTGTTCAAAAAGTCCTGTCCGTTTTTATGAGTCTGCTTTGAACTGCAATATATCAGTGAATAGTGACTCAATTCAATTGAAATGACCGGCATTTGAATCAATGCACTTTTACCAACGTAAAACAAGTCGATTGATATCGTCAATATGAAGATTGTGTGCTCAGGATTCGATGAAATCGACAAAGGCCGTTTTGCCTGGTCCTGATTCGCGAAGGTTCTGCCTGTGAGGAAGTTATCGGGATGCTCAAAAATATGGTAGTCGGTTGGCAAGAGGTCTGGAGAGTATGGTGCGTGAGGCAGAACTTTGGTGATCAATTCATTTATTTTCGGACGATGATTCATGAAACGTGCGGACGGCGTTGTTGTGGAGCAGGACCGGACATCTTCTGTTGACCAGTGCCACTGGCGCTATTTTCGGTAAATTTTGTCGATATCCTCACAGTAGGACTCTGCTCTGATGGGTTGAAGAAGAGAATCACATCAATCGCTGACCACCACTTTTTCGAAGACAAAACACAAGCACTACAGGAAAATCCTCAAGGCGCTGTGACAGCGGTGTCTGTGCGAAAGTAACGATTCACATTGGATTCGAATCGCTGGAGATTGAATCTATTTGGAAAAACGTTCTCAGGCAGTTTATTCCATATAAACGCAGTTCTCCAAATAAAAGAGTTCTTAAACAGTGAAGTTCGAGGTGTACTGAGTTGAACCTGAAAACGATGAGCAACCACAGTCTGTCGCATATTTCTGATATGTATCGGTCTTGGTGAAATCAAATGTGCCAAGTTATTTGAACACTTCTCGTGAAAGTATCTATACAGGGTGTAACTGAATAAGTGTAAAACATTAAAGGAGGTGATTCCTCATCGAAAAAAAAAGGATCTTTCATATAAACAAACTTCATTGGAGCATCCCGTGTTAAGATACAGCCCCTTAAAGGAGGTACATAAAATTTGTATAACAATTTTTTTCACAAGCACTGAAGAAGTTACAATATTGAAATTAACCTGACGTTTTGTACTACCAAAAAGACACTTAGCCAGTGATTTATTTGGTTTACCCCTTGGTTGTAAGGGGTGGAAAACGCAACCCCTAAAATGTATTTCCAATGTAACTTTTTGTCTCATTATTTGTTTACCATTTGAAAATATATTTCCGATAGCCTGTTTCATTCTGAACAAAAAATGTTTCTTGGGTTTTTTGCCCAAAATAAACCAGTTCGCAGCAAAAAATTATTTTACGAACAACTACAAAGATACATCGTTATAAATGCGAACTGGATTCATTGTGATTTTGTAGTAAGTACCTGCATTGAACGATTGAAGGGTAATGAACAAAACTAATTTATTAATAACAAAACACACAACATGTATAAATCATTGTAAATGTTCAATATGTCTACCTTCAGACATTACGCATGCGTCTAGACGTCGGCGCATTGAGCCACGTATTCGCTCAAATATTCCTGGAGTCTCTCTGATTACCCTGCACGCATCAAAATTTTATGTACCCCCTTTAAGGGGCTGTATCTTAACAAAGGATGCTCCAATGAAATTTCTTTATATGAAAGATCCTATCTTTTTTCGATGAGGAATCACCTCCTTAAATGTTTTACACTCATTTAGTTACACCCTGTAGAAGAGAGACAAATCTCCAACCTTCCTTCGATGTTCCAGACTATCAAGGTTGCAAGTAATGTTCGCGTCTCCAATTAAGTGGATGGCTCTTTTCTGAATGGAATCCAGCAGCTTCAAGGTATGCTTTGGGGCGTAGCTCCATACAACAATACTCGAACAATACTCGAAAGAAGGTCTGATCTGAGCTTTATAAAGCATCAAAAGTTTCTGAGGTGTGTACAGTTCAGAACAGTGTTCAAAGCTTTTGAGAAACGGCTTTTGCAACTCCAGTGACATGAATGTGCCAAGACATATTCGTGTCCATTCAAACCCCCAACAAATTTATTGAAGTGGAAAGTGAAATTGTCTGACTTGACATCATTATATCCGGTTCAAGATCCTCATTGAGATATGCAACCTTTTGCTGCCGATGAAGATGTGTATCCGCCGCAGATGTCCTGGAATCCAAACGGAATGAAGAAACAAGTGTGCTGTCGTCAGCAAAGCAATATATTGGATTCTTGGTTTTTCTTCCAATAAGTCGTTGATATAAAATAGAAAGAGGATTGAAGGCAATATAGATCCCTGGGGAACACCAGCGTTGATGGTGTAAGTATATGAGAGATATACGTCGACGGCCACTCGCAGGGAACGTTCTACCAGGAAGCTGAAGAGCCACCATACACAAAAATGATCCGACAAGTCATAGCTTCAAAGATTGGCCAGCAAACCCTCATGCAACACACGGTCATACAGTACCCATGGTCTTTTTTGATGACATCAAAACGGACAAAGCTTTTGAAACAACCTAATAATATCAGAAAGTTCATGTCACCATACTTTTTTAATTTCAATTTAGTGGGTTTCTCATGGTTCTTGGGCATTGTGGTTCTTGTTAATTGGGTAGTGTTGTCCCAAAATAAAGTTCGGAGGATTGTCCGGGTACAGTAACTGGTGGTCGATAAGTGGTGGATAATGGTTTAGGTACAGGTAAACCTGGGGTGGGAGTAGGTGAGTATGTCGAACTTTAGTGTGGCTCCGGACTGTGGGCTGTCCACTACCTGATGGCCAGCGGGAACTCATCGATGATGTCCTGAAATCTATCCGGAACTAGGATTGTCAATGTGTCTTATTTATACTAGTAGAGGATGAAATGTCGATATAGGAGTTTTATTTCAGTCCATTTATGACCTTCTTCAGTGGTGGATACTACGTTTCATCATCAACAACGTGGACCAATCAAAACAACGTAGTCTAAGTGCGGACCAATAGTTAGCATTACTATGGACATTCCATCCCCACCATCCTCTGCTAGTTTGAATGGAAGTGAACACGGAGTAATCTGTGTACTATATCCCAGTCTACATCTGAATAAGTTCACCACAGTAGCAGACAATGCTTGGTACTATGATGGTTATTGTTATTTCCAAGTAGACAGTATCAATGCGTCATTAGCAATTATGTCATTCGGTAGATGCATCTGTTCAGTACCACTGTCACCATCTTTATCTTCAACCTGTCCACATGTTGTTTCGAGGTTAGAATGGAATCCTGTGTTAGTTACACAAGTATTCTAAGTACCCACAAAAAGTTTTGAAGGACCTAGCTCGTCTGGTCGATTTGAAGGTATAGATAAGTCAAGTTTGTGTCACAAGCATTAGTATTTAACTCGAAAAAATTGCAACCTTTTAACCTGAGAAATGCGTCTCATTCAGGAATATTGCTGAAAGAACAATTATATCATTAGAGAAGATGTTTTGAAGAATTGTATCGGCTAAATTAAATACAACGTACAGTAAATCGCCAGAAGATCATAAGTATGAAAATTAGGGTATATTGAATCTTCCAAATGGAATACACTAATCAAAAATTGAAGCAGACTGCCCCGCCCCCCAAATTACAAATCACTTTGTCTCGATTATTTACCTTTTTTATCTTCTTCTTCAGAGGAATCGCTTTTTTTCCCAACAGCTCCTGACAACGCTTCTGCGTAAGAATAAAACTAGTTAGTGTGTGCTGGGTATACTTTTCAGCTAAAACTAAACTATTGAACTTAACTCATCAAAAGGAATAATTGGATAAATAGCGGTAAACGTTTCGTCACTCAAGCGTTAAATGAGCTCATCTAATAATGGGCCCTGCAGAATGGGAAATGTTCCTCAATTTGGGTTATTACAGCAAATGCAAGTTTGAACAAAATGAAGTTGAGTTTAATTCATGAATTTTTCAAATTCACTTCGAAAAGTATTCAAATTGATGTTTCAAATGTTGGGTTTTAATTTTTTTCAAAGGATCTGTTTCTAATTCACATATTGGCAACAGCGTCTATATCAAGTTTGAATAATTTATACGTACCTAGATATTCTACTTATCTTATCTTTATAAATCAACAATTGAAGCAAAATATAAATTATAGTTCAATACCAACTCCACAAGCCACATAAACAACAGTTGTTTCGTTATTTAGTTATATAGAGGAAGATAGGTTAGGTGCACAAAATGTCATTTGTCACAGAACTCGGAACATAAGTGAACAGAACAGCACGCCTCTGAAATATGTCATCTTTGTTTGTCTCATACAGGTAACAGATTCATTGTCCTTTATTAGCTATAACCAATGTTGTCAAATGGTGAAATAGAAACGAATCCCTTCAAATGTTGAATTCATTATTTCATTTCTCTTTTTCAAGTATTTAAATACTTTTTTAAAGAAAAATGTTGAAATGATAGGTTTAAAATGCGTTGTTTTAGAGCTCTTCAATGAAAACTACTTGATTTTCGTCAGGAGGAACATTCCCCATTGCCCCAATGAGTTTGTTTATTGAGTTTATTGATAATACCACCAGCGCTTCGTTATATAAAATGTGCAATTGGAGGCATTCAGTAGAAATAAACCTTTAACAAATTCACATGAAAGAACACATTTTGAGTTCTGTCCCTTTTTGTGAGTCTGCTTTAAACTGCAATATCTCAGTGAATACTAATTCAATTCAATTGAAATAAGCGCCATTTGAATCACTGCACTTCCACCAACATGACACATGTCGATTGATCCCGTCAGTATAAAGAGTGTATGCTCGGGATTCGATGAAATCGGCAAAGGCCGTTTTTGCCTGGTCCTGATTGGCGAAGGCTCTCTACAAAAACACATGACAGGATCCATGTCGCCATACTTATTTGTGATACTCTCTTTAAGTTATTTTCAAACTCAGATATTTGCCCCTGTGTCTCTCAGAACCTGTGATTCCGTAGGAACAGAAAAACCAACTTCTCAGTTGTTGCATCCCAAATATATTATCTCCTCTTCGAGTCTCCTTTATGGCGTCCTGCATTTTCCATCTCTATTCGGATGTTACAAACCTTCTGCAGCGTTTCAGATTGTGTGCTTGGACACGTGGACACGTGTAGTGTCCAGTTCAATACCAATTATGAAATGTCCTACATAAATTTCAATTATTATTCCACGAGACTGAATGCAGTGCTTTGATCAGTTTTTCTTTTTCACTTTTACTGTTGATTAATGTTCCTGTTTTGATTAATTTTCCTATTTTTCTTGTACACTCAGGTGCATAAAAAACAGTCACCTTATTCGCAAATCTTTATATGGAATAACTTCTTTATTTTCAGCTCGATCTTAAAGAAAATTCATCCCCGAATATTCCACATCGAACAAATTTTCTAGTAAGGCCCGTTTCATACACATTATACGAGGGAAAAAATGTTATGTGTCTATCATCTAAAATTAAAACCCCCTGTGGTAAAATACAGCTGTTGGATGACTCACAAAACATTCCTATGTGCAAGGTTGGTTAATTCTCTATGAAATGTTTCTTCAATCATTTCAAGTTTAGGAATTATCAAATGAAATTGTATTTTCTTCACGTATTCGTCATAATATGCAACTATTAAGCATGCTCCCCGGATGCAAATCGTGTCGAGGATGTCTGGAACTATAGATATAGACGTGTGAGAAGTCGCGAAAGAAAAACTATTAACAAAAATAAACTTTGCAACGCAACAAACACTAATTCGAAGCCTCGAAGGATGGAAGCTATCTATCGTCCAAGGGTTGAGGGCCTGGTTGATTATCTCAAAAAAAGAATTTGATGAAAAGCTGATGAGTACAACTTTCATTTCTCAAAGTCTTTTTGAAATACCTTTTATCATACACTTTCCAAAACGTTAGTTTTGGAAAGTGCCATAAATGTGTGTTTGAGACACATATCCACTAATCGGAACTTACTTGTCATAGGTTTAGCTGCATCTGTAAAAGAAAATAGCTGTCAATTTTTGTATGGTTTATGTGTGATGACATGTATTTTTGGACAGTTAGATGAATTTTCACTTCCACTATGATAACCAGGAGGATATGAAAATGTTTTCGATATAACAAATTATTATCTACGTAGACTGTTTATTTACAGTTTCAGCTGTTGAGTTTGTTGATGAGGGGCATAAAAGTTAGAAGTGTTTTGCGTGTTCAGCGATTTCATACTATCTAAATGAATGCATCAAAGAATTTGCATCAAATTTTGAATGAAACGTGGAATTGTGTGAGCTTAAAAACACTCGAAATGTTGTCAGTGGCATACGGTGGCTACTCTCAGTTAAAAAAAAATTACAAGTGTAACAAGCCTTTCACAGAAGGTCGAGAAAATGTAGATTACGACGCTTGCCCAGGACACTTCAGCACATCAACAACCTGTGAAAAAGTTGAGAAAGTGAAGAAAATTGTCAGAAAAGTTGCTGAGGAGGTCGGCATATTGGTTCTCTCATGCCATGCAATTTTTTTGTAAATTTTGAGCTTCATGCGCCTCACAGCAAAGTTTGTATCAAAATTACTGAATTCTAACCAAAATCTACCGTAGCATGAGCTCAGGAATTAATGAATGACCTCAACGGCGATCCAGATTTGCATAAAAGAGTCATAACTGGTGACGAATCATGAGTATATGGTTATGACATCGAAACTAAATTCCAGTCATCCCAATGGAAGAACCAAGCAGAGCCAGGACAAAAAAAAAGCAGACCAAGTTTAATTAAATGTCAAGGTTTTGCTCATTGTTTCATTGTGTTACCATGGCATAGTGCATAGGAGCTCTTGTCACATGATCATACGGTTAGTAAGGAGTATCATCTTGAATGTTTGCGCCGCTTGCGAGAAGTAATACGAAGGAAACATCCGGTCTTGTGGAGAAACTACTCCTGGCTTCTGAATCACGAAAATGTACCTGCTCACTCGTTACTCGTTCGGAATTTTCGACCATTGACGTCATGTTTTTTTAAATGATGTTTTTTGAGATACTCTGTACACATTAACGCCATGTTTTTTTCTTTAGCGTTGGCAACCATGTTTTTTCCGCGGCACGTCCTGTATATGATTTTATTGGTGTACTTTGAAACAACACTCTGTATACCTAATGTATTTCGACAAACAGTCGCCATGTTTTTTTTCTTCAAAACCGCACACACCCTGTATACCTCATGACGGCTATGTTTTTTTCTTGCTTCAACGCAGGCAGCCATGTGTTTTCTTTAACGCTACACACACCTTGTACACCTCAATGACAACCAATTTTTTAATGCTAGCAATCATGTTTTTTTCTTCAACGCTGCACACCCTGTATAGCATTCGATTAATGTGTTTCGAAACAACACTCCAGATCACTAAGACTGAGGATCAAGTGGGAAATGGGAAAAAATACCGGCGTGGTTCAAACAGAACTGGCTGGTATCTCAATCGCCACAAAAGAAATTACCAAAAAAGAAATTTCTGGCAAAGACATAACAGTCTGTACTGATAGCAGACAAGCCCTATTAGCCTTGAACAGACAACGTGTTACCTCAGGGCTAGTACTAGAGTGCTACCAAGGTTCAGCCAAAGCCTCGGTAGATGATAACATTATCCTGAGGTGGATTAAAGGGCACGACAGTAGTGTGGGTAATCGCATTGCCGACTCTTTAGCCAAGGAAGCGGCAGGACCCAGTGGCACCTACGGTCTGATGACTCCAACAATTGCGGAACTAGCGAAACGTTACACCCATGCTCAATCCCTAAAGAGATGGGATGAAATCAAAGGACGCAATCCTGCCAGAATCACCCTTGGCGACCCTGGTAAGCTGGCGTTGAAGAAATATCTGTCCACTAGCCCCATATTATGGGGCTAGTGGACACACCTCTATGCAGGATGTGTGAATAGGAAGATGAAACTGCCAGACATGTCCTATGCGAGTGTCCGAAGTTATCGTCAATATTCGGTGAGTCTTAGCCTACACCTGCCGATATAAAGGAAATGTCTCCTAGTGACCTGTTCACCTGGCATGGACGATGACCTAGGAGGACAACTCTTCGGGAGGATGTACAATGGGTCACATGTGGCCTGAGTGCTGTGGCCCGACACTCACCATCCCTACTCGACAGATTCAGATACAGAGAACAACACCCTGTATACCCAACTATTATTGTTCTCATATCATTTCAAGCGCACTCGACTAGTTATCTTCCAAACAGCGATAACGCCACCGTTAACACTGATAAGCCACTTCCGTTCCAGAATCCGCTTTGTTCATCTACTAACCTCAGTCACCGTATTCACCAGATTTGGCCACCTGTGACTTTTTCCTGTTCCCAATATTGAAGAGACCCATAGATGGACGTCGATTTGCGACGATTGAGGAAATAATAATCGAATCGCTGAGAGAGTTCGAAGACATACCAGAAAGATCAGAACTGGTATTGAGGATTGGAAAACACGCTGACACAAGTGTATTATATCTGAGGGGACTGATTTGAATGGAACAAAAAAAATTGATGACCAAATGAATAGTTTTCGAGGAAAATTAAACTTCACCTCATGTTTTGAACAGAGGGATACATATCCTGTAAACGTAAACAATACATATATTCAATTGATAATTGTGTATTTTTCATATGTTACAAAAATTGATGTTTTTGGTGAAGGGCTCTTTTTCGGATATACTTGAGGAAACATTAGTTTAACAGATCAATTCTCGTCGTAGAAAGCTATGTCACGACTATGTCGTGGTGAACCTAGATACTCGTGGACCAAAAAAGTCGAGTATGCACAGAAAATGGGCGTCGACTAAATGACTCCTTTAACATCGGATTCAGACCATGAACTTCTCTGTTCTCCGCTTGGTCCTGTTAACAAACCTAGAAAGACCAGATGTTGGAGAAATAAATGTACTTGAAATATATCGGTCAGACTAAGCGTGCCGTTGAAAGACGTTTCAAAGAACAAGCAGCTTCTATCCGACTTCGAAGACCAGAAACATCTGGTGAAGAATGGCTATGAAATTAATGAAAAATGTGACTAAAATTGTTGAGATCGGTAAATGACACTAGATTGAAAATAGTGAAGTGTGGCATAAAAACTATATGGACATAACTGCTTGATAAACATGCACTTAGGTCTGAAATAAACTGCCTATTTTCGGAGTTTGTTACCATTTGTTTGGTTATCCTCAATGACTTCAATGATATCTACCTCAGTCGTAGACGAAACGCCAGACATTAAAACATGCCGCCCATGACCAACAAACCCAAATGATAATTTTGACACAGATAGGGAAGAATAAACCATAACTTTCCTAACGCTAATTTGATTCAGGCTCGATATTGTTCTTAGTATAACTGAAAAAATATTTTCGTGAGGTCAATAAAAATCAAAATATTTCAGTTTGAATCAGAGAATCAAGGGCTATCTCAAATTTTGGAAGTAAGGCTGAACGCGATGAGTAATTTACAAAAAAAACATGTTTCTGGGGATGAGTTCTTCCAGAGAAAACTATTAAGTATGATATGAAACTCATAACTTACCTACAATTAAACTCCCCACATCACCTCCAATTTGTAAAGTGTCTTTTCCAAGAGGTATGATGTAATCTTCCACTGCTTCCGCAATATCTACAATATTATTCACATTTTTTCTTTGAAAAATAATGAGCTGCATTCTTTAAAAACGCAGTACTGATTATTTCACAGTTTTTTTGAAATAATTCGTGATTTGTAGGGTAAAGAACTAACAATAATTAATGCAATGGTTTTATTTTCCCGTTATATCAAATAATAAAATGTAAACATATGAATGTGGTTATTCATAATTTAAATGTTCACACGGCCAATCATCCGTCTTCTTCTGTTATCCTACACAACGAGATATTATTAAGTTTTTGTCAATCTAAGTATCATTATGAGTCTGTCTCCACTCACCTTGAAGTGCCTCCTTCGGTTCCACATCTCTTTTGACGATATGAGTTGTTCCTATAAACAATAATATCACCATTGAATGTATATAATACTTTAGAAAGTGAAAGTAAGTGTACGTACCCTTCACGACATGTTTAGTTCCTTTTAGAACCTTTTTCACAGCATTTTCGGCGCCACTGGCAACATCTGAAAATATAAATAGTCTCTGATTGATAACCAAAAACGATAATAGATATTTCAAGGAAGTGAAAGTACTCAAAAAATGAATGTGTTTTATTCTCAAATGTTTTACCCAGTATCATAATGAATGTTGCAAGAAACGTCAGTGGCGTACCTTTTTATGTTGGCTCAATTGTGTCTCGAGCCACCACTGGATTCAATAATTTGTTTGTGGGTTGGTAATGAATCTAGTTATATCCGTGAATCAGCAACCACTTGTTTTAATTATAAGCTGTCATTTAGTATCTCGTAAAAATTCTTATTGAGTGTTAACGACCAAGAAATTTGTGCTACCCCACCATATATTACCGAGCAAGCAAATATTGCGATGAATAATGTATTGTCAGCAAAATCAAGAGAAAAATATGTATATAATTTTGAAAAGTTTATGAGTTGGAGAGAGAAGAAAAACATAACCTCGTTTACCTTAAACGTTCTTTTCGTTTATTTCGAAGATTTAGCATAAGCTTTGAAACCATCGTCATTATGGGTAATTTACTCAATGCCAAGAAGTACCTACCCTGAATATCATGAAAATTGTGTACATCAGCAAATATTTCAAATAACGTGCCTCTCTAACACGCAAATCTGATGGTTCTAAACCGACAGAATTGCCGACATTAAGGAAGCTCCAGATGGCAAATATTTGTTTTCGAAGGTAACACAACTCCTCTTTTTCCTTCTATTAACTTTTTATGAAATGTTTGCAACAATTTTTGAAATACTAAGACACAACATAAAGGTTAAAACTGAATTATTCAACCTCACCAGCCAACAGACAATCATATTTCATTAGCCAGACGCCTCTAAAGCAAAGCCTACTGCCGTTAATTCTATGAACTGTAATAGCCAAACAAAAGGATTTGAAAATATTTTACAGACCGAAAAATACCTGTTCTCATTGACATGATTATTTTATTTAAAACTCTTCAAATTTATTTATCCAATAGATTTATTTCAATAGATTTTCCATTACGTTTGTTTGGTAGAAATAGCCCATAAGAACAATAACTCCAATGTATTTTCACGTCTGGCAAATTGCAAATACGAATTACAAGTCTACATCACGAAATAGTTGAGAGGGACAATATTTGGAACTAACTTCCGGTATTATTGTTTATTTCATTTTCTGCTGAAATTGCTTCACTAGTTGTCATTTAATTTCGACCGATGTCACTGTGGCTTTTTAGTGACTAATAATCAGTTTTGAATTTTTTGATAATGGATATTAGGTTTTTTATTCTCATCCGTACATAATAACGAATTTATCATTTTCGTTTTCAAGTATTCACACTGTATGTTTATTGTGAATAAAAGGAAATGAAAACTCACATTTAACTGTTTTTATAGGAAACTTCAAAATATCTTCCAGGATGTGTCCAGCGCCGTGGATACCACCTGAAAAACAGATAATATCTCTTGAGATATTAGGTCGTGATTCAAAACAGTAATTGTCCCATCCAAATATTTGAAAAATTTTTCATTTCCATGTGATCATTAACAAAATCACATATTTTTTCTGCCAAAAAATGCAATATCAGTGTAAGAAAAAACATATGCATACAAAAATCCGTCTTTTTTAATATCCGCAACATCGGCGACACCATCTGTGATTTAAAATAATTTTCAACGTTAGAGAATTAACTTAAATGAATAATTCTTCTTAGTTTTCATGAAAAACGAGCGAGATACTCAAAAATAACCAAACTAAATGAACAATAACAACGAACGTGTTCCAGAATCATTTCGGGTGTTGTCCATTTCGATTATAGTCCAGTCATCTTAGCAAGTTCACATCGGAATTTGAGATACCTATATATAAACTTGGCCAAAGGTCACAAAAATCGATATTTTAGACATTTCATGCAAATTTTTCGTTTCCTATGGGTTTTCGTTATCTTTGTATTGTAGAGGATGTAATTCCCTAGAACTTTTGTCTTAAAAGTTTTTTATACGTTTCAATCGTTTTCGAGATAAATTCCAATGTGATTCATACTAATAACTACTCGAATAAATAAAAAAAAAGAAAGATAGGAAGGTATTCTTAAATATTGTTTTCATTGAAAAATTTTATATATATTCATGATTGTGTAAATTGAAAAAACTAATAAAAACTATAATTATTTTAAATATATTTTTCTTCTTCATCATCGTCGTCTCTTTTTTGATCGTCTTCAACGTTATTCATCTCCAGGTCTTCCTTCATGATTTCGGGGTCAAAGGTTCTGTATTCATTGACATCGCTGTGATATATTGAAGCATTGAGGCAAGCTTGTCCATTTCACTGGTCACAAGCTTAAGATCACTACATTCCCAATTTCCTGCATCCACATCGCGAACCACAAACACTCTTGCAGTTGCAGCATATTTTGTTGAGCAATTTCTCTGGAGAAGGTGCTAAATTTGTTGTGATGGGTTCCAGGAGTTCGTGACGCATTGTTTAACCCCATTCCTGGGGTTCCAAATCATGACCTAACCAAGTTTGTCTTCATTGACATCGCTGTGATATGCTAAAACATTGAGACAAGCTTGCCCATCACTCTGGCCACAAGCTGAAGATCACTACAACTCGATTTCCTGCATCCACATCGCGAACCACAAACACTCTTGCAGTTGCAGCATATTATGTTGAGCAATTCCTCTGGAGAAGGTGCTAAAATTATCGTGATGGGTTCCAGGAGTTCGTGACGCATTGTCTAACCCCATTCCTGGGGTTCCAAATCATGACCTAACCAAGTTTGTCTTTATTGCCATCGCTGTGATATGCTAAAGCATTGAGACAAGCTTGCACATTATACTGGCCACTAGCTTAAGATCACTACATTCCCAATTTCCTGCATCCACATCGCGAATCTCAAACACTCTTGCAGTTGCAGCATATTATGTTGAGCAATTCCTCTGGAGAAGGTGCTAAAATTGTCGTGATGGGTTCCAGGAATTCGTGACGTATTGTCTAACCCCATTCCAAATCATGACCTAAACAAGTTTGTCTTCATTGACATCGCTGTGATATGCTAAAGCATTGAGACGAGCTTGCCCATTATACTGGTCACCAGCTTAAGATCACTACATTCCCAATTTCCTGCATCCACATCGCGAATCTCGAACACTCTTGCAGTTGCAGCATATTATGTTGAGCAATTCCTCTGGCGAAGGTGCCAAAATTGTCGTAATTTGTTCCAGGAGTTCGTGACGCATTGTCTAATCCCATTCCTGGGGTTCCAAATCATGACCTAACCAAGTTTCTTTTCATTGACGTCGCTGTTATGTGCTAAAACATTGAGACAAGCTTGCCCATTACAGTGGCCACAAGCTGAAGATCACTACAACCTCGATTTCCTGCATCCACATCGTGAACCACAAACAACCTTGCAGTTGCAGAATATTGTGTTGAGCAATTCCTCTGGAGTAGGTGCTGAAATTGTCGTGATAGGTTCCAGGAGTTCGTGACGCATTATCCAACCCCATTCCTAGGGTTCCAAATCATGACCTGACCAAATTTGTCTTCGTTGACATCGCTGTGATATGCTAAATCATTGAGACAAGCTTGTCCATTATACTGGCCACAAGCTTGAGATCACTACATGCTCAATTCCCTGTATACACATCGCGAACCACAAACACTCTTGCAGTTGCAGCATATTATGTTGAGCAATTCCTCTTCTCGCTAAAATTATCGTGTTGGGTTCCAGGAGTTTGTGACGCATTGTCTAACCCCATTCTCGAGGTTCCAAATCATGACCTAACCAACTTTGTCTTTATTGACATCGCTGTGATATGCTAAAGCATTGAGACAAGCTTGCCCATCACACTGGCCACAAGCTGAAGATCACTACAACTCGATTTCCTGCATCCACATCGCGAACCACAAACACTCTTGCAGTTGCAGCATATTATGTTGAGCAATTCCTTTGGAGAAGGTGCTAAAATTATCGTGATGGGTTCCAGGAGTTCGTGACGCATTGTCTAACCCCATTCCTGGGGTTCAAAATCATGACCTAACCAAGTTTGTCTTCATTGACATCGCTGTGATATGCTAAAGCATTGAGACAAGCTTGCCTATTGTACTGGCCACAAGCTTAAGATCACTACATTCCCAATTTACTGCATCCACATCGCGAATCTCAAACACTCTTGCAGTTGCAGCATATTATGTTGAGCAATTCCTCTGGACAAGGTGCCAAAATTGTCGTAATTGGTTCCAGGAGTTCTTGATGCATTGTCTAACCCCATTCCTGGGGTTCCAAATCATGACCTAACTAAGTTTGTCTTCATTGACATCGTTGTTATATGCAACAGAAGTACCTGTATTGAGGCGTTCAGGCCGTATAAAAAGACACACAACAGGGTAACACATTCAGATAGAATAGTGAATAACTTTCTCACCGGTAGAACCTTCGCCAATTGCAAAAATCGCCTTCGTCGGCTTCATCGAATCTCGATTACCCATCTCTTTTATGCTGACGGATTTACTCGATTTGCCTTACGTTGGCAAAAAACCACTGATTCAAATTATGCTTATTTCAATTGAATTAAGTAGGTATTCACTGAGAAATTTCATTTCAAGTTATACTCATCAAAACGGACAAAACTGTTGAAACATTTTAATATTTTATTTCTTCTGGCATTGCTTATCGCTGTTATGTCAAAAATGTTACATGGTTGGATACAGAACTGAAAATCCTGTCAACTAAGACTATTTTTTTTTTATTGATTCCAATCTCTCCGCACAAAATTCAATGGCGTAAATTTCAATTAGAATTGGAAATGTCTTATTATTCCGAGATTTCTGGGTATCATATACAGTGTGTCAATTTTGAAACTAACAATGGGATATATTGTTTGTATTGTAGTTCAAAAAAAAAACCTCAATTCCATTCCATTCAAGCCAAAGTTTCACAATTATTATTTATACCATTGGATAGCATTTTTATAGTCTTTCCAATTGTATCACAAGTAGAGGTTTGTAATTTAAACTTTTTGAGTTTTGGTGGGTGGGGCCGAGGGGATTGATGGGGGTGAGTTTATGTCATTTTAGTTCCTCCTTACTATCCTAGAAACGGTTTCAAGCATTTTTCGATATCAGCTTTCGTACGTGAGATATAACCCATTGAAAGTTTTAAAATTGACACACTGTGTAATTTGTTAGTATTCAAGGTAGTTAGGTTAGGTCAGAAGTGAGTGGATCTATTCGATCTCCACCGCAACCTGCAGTAACGTTAGTTTCAAATAAAAGTGGTCAAAAACATAGAAAGTATCATTTCTCATTTTCCATTATTATCTCCTTCCATCAATTTATAATAATGAGTGATAAGTAAGGAGTAAGTATTTATTGTGTCATAAAATACAGAATCACATACAAAAGGGACCAAGTACGTTTACAACCAAACCCAAAAGACAGTTAAAAAACATTTGAAACAAACAAACTGATAGAATTGAAATTCATCGAATTCATTTGCCCATTCAGGATAGCCTCTTTGAGATTTGTCTTCAGAGTAGGAGCAGATAAATTACGAACTCTGAGGGGATATTATTCAGCAGACAAGGTACTGAATAAAAAAAATGCCTGTCATTCATATCTGTCACTTATATTCCTCGGCGAACTGTTGTGAATGTTCTCCCTTTGAACTATTTTGGAGGCGAAGTACTTTGGTAGTCCACAAGCCAAGATCTTATTGACAAGACAAGCGTAGTGAACAAAACGCTTTTCATCCCTGATATGAGGGGTGGCATGTGCTTGAGGGGTCACCGCTTTCATAAAACCGTTCCCTCTCAAGCACAGCTTATAAACTATGTCAGCATAGTTAATATGCGAGAGGACAAGGAAGTTGCAAAGCCTTTTTAGTGGCAGTGTTCAGATCTGTTTGGAAGGTTTTCAAATTTTTCAAGGCTCAAATAGGTTTTGTTTGTGATGAAACTCAGTTGTTTTGCTTCAGTTTCAGAGACAGAACTAAATGAATTCGTGGTCAATAAATACAGAAAACTTAGCCAAGCGGCTCAAGTTAGAGGATGACCCAATAAAAATATTTTGGCTTCATGAGGGGTGTAGGAGTTGGCAGTTTTTGTCGGTCCACCTCTTCATGGTTTTGAGGTCGTTGTTTATTCTCATCGGCGTATAAGATTTTTGACGAGGCTGAAAGTTTGAATAGAGGGAGTAGTCGACAAACATAATCATGTTACAGTCTTCCAGTCTACTGCAAGTCAGATGTAAAAATAGCAAAAAGAGTGGTTGCGAACATCTAACCCTGAGGAATACGAGTGTTTGAAGGGAGTACTGATAGGTTGTCGTTTACACAGACGAATCGTGATAGATTGGAGAGATAGGCTTTGAGCCAATCTGAAATTCGACCGTTAAATCGATGATAATGGAGTTTGACGATTAGGCAGACAAGGTTAACAGTATCAAAAGCCATCGACATGTACAATAGGGGAAGAGATACCACTTCTTGGTTGTCTAGGGTCTTGCGGAAATCGTGTGTCATAGAACATAATACGGAGACTGTACAATGACGTTTACGAAATCCTGGCTGGTTTGAGGGTAGAATATGCTGTTCTTCAACAAAGTCCTGTATCTGGGAAAGCATGGTTCCTTCGAGGATTACAGATGTCATATTCGTAAGGCAAAGATCACTGAGGCTGTTAACTTTTGTGGAGGGCTTCTTAGGTATAGGTTTGACATTTGATGTTTCACACTGCTGGGAAACACAGCCTATTTTAAATTATGTATGTATTATATGTGTGAGGGGCAATGTTTAATTGACAATTGGAGCATTTCATAAGAAATTTTGTAGGTGATTTCAGAGAGACCTGGGTGTCATAAAACGAATTGCTGTCAGCAAGTAGATATTGAGTATTCCATTCTCTCACGTCCCTACTAAATAGCTACCGTAATAAAGATAATAATATAAAATTAACTTACTTTTAACTTTAACTACTGGATATTTCAGAATGTGCCCCACATGACCTGGAAAATGGAAATTTATTCAAAGAACATCTGGATATGAAATGTGTTAAATTCAAAATGAAATTGTATCACAGCCTTCGAAGCCTGATAAAAATGTAAATTACGATGGTCTCTTATGTTGCTCATTCAGAGATGATTATAAATGAAAATTATTCACTCAAACATATACAGATGTGGAAAATAAGTATCGGAACATACAAATCCCGATGCATTCTGGGAGGGGTCCGAGATTGCAGTCGATCAGTCTCAAATTGGACTAAATATCAGCTATTCTATTGAACCACTCTACGTTGATGTATCCCCACTCAAAATCTGCCGTGTGTCCACTAAATGACGCGGTAAACAATTCATCAGTATAGAGTTATCAGAGAGAATGTATTTATGGAAGAGACTTTGGAACCGAAGTTCTCTAAAATCCAATAAACTACCAGATATGTGATACAGAGATAATCCGATATCGCTGAATTCGTTCAGAATAATGCTGGCACAACGATGGATAGTTTCTTGCCGATAGGCATATTTTTTCAGATACCCTCAGAAAAAAATTACTCGAAGATATAACTGGTGTTCTGAAAGGCCTTTGATCGTACCACGTGTATTTATCAATCAACCAGAAAACGTAGTTAGGAGGATTCCTGTTGAAACCAAATGTCCCCAACATTGATAGGAAGAATATGAATTGTTGTAGATTATCATCCATGAAGAAGTCTCTTGACATTCCTCTCCTGAGTGTTTATGGGTATATACAGAAATACTCAAATGCTGATTTTCCCGAGACCAATATCGAACAACTGATGTATTGTGATTCATCGGCATATTCCACATTTTTCGTTCATTTTATCAATTAGACAAATGGTGATCTGTGACGAAAGTGGCCTCTTTTCAAATGCAACAATGAATAGATTCATTGTATCTCGAATTTGTATATTTTTTTCTTTTGTGAACTTGAACTTCTAAGAGTCTGGAATTGGAACGGTATTTCAATCAAATTGTTGATATTCCTTCGCGAACAAATATGTAATTTCTCACTGGTCGATTGCTATCGCAGGCCCCGTCCAAAATGCATTGCGATCCGCATGTCCGATTATATTTTCCATATACAGGGCTTTTCATGATGAGCGTTAATTAGCCGTTTCTGGCAAATTATTCAACGGATCAACCTGAAAATTCCACAGTATGCATAAGTCAATATGACCTACACGAAAAAAAACTAAATCATAAAAACGTTTTTTATAGTCTTTTATATAGTCTTTCATAGAGCATTTTATAGACTCAATGAACGTACCCTCGGAATTATCTTCTGGTTTGTGGAAAAAGCGTTTCACATGATCTTCAGTACCATCTGAAAAGAAAACTTAGATACATTTTTTAAAGGTGTTGTTTGTCTACGAAAAGTAATACACAAAGTTATGGGTCAGCTTTTACTAGTTATTTACCTCGAGATGAATAATATAGGTGTTGAAAAAGAACTGCTCTTCACTTTCGAATGTTATATTTGAGCATCGAATATTTCGAATATTCCACAAAATTACTCGAGTAGTCTTGAATCTTTGGACCTTACCAAAATTTCAGCTAATCCAAATGATGGAGAGTTGCAAAACATACTAAGAATACGAGTAAATATATTTTATCCCGATACAGCAACCATCAAGAAAGTTGATATGAACCCGTAAGTATATTTTTTCAGTCATTTCAAACCTACTTATTTTGAAAATAATTTGAAATTTTGGAATGAGGTATGACAAATTTCACGAGTAATAGAATTTTCTTGAAAATTATCAATAAGACATGAAACAACTGAATAATGCAAGAGAATCTTCGAATAAAGTTTCTGATGCAATTTTACATGCAATACCATTTGGAATAATATAATAGTTATAAGATGGTTATCAGTTCAAAAAAATCGAAAAAAAGTAAACTCACCCCTAGTCTTATGTACGAATGCTTTAGCATGATGACCATCGTCTTGGATACCCTCTGAAAACCAATAATTGATTGTTGATTGTTGATAATTGATTTCAATTTAAAAACCACCGGTAGATAGCTGTTTCAGCCTATTGGGCATCGTCAGTACCGGGCAGGTGGTCCTCGATTGAAGACAAAATGTCAATAAACAAGAATAAAAATAACTGCGTAAACGCAAGCGAGACATAAGTGGAACCCAAGTCAACTTGCCAAGTTTCTATGTTAGTGTTGGTGGTTGTGGAATTAGCCGCGGTGGTAGTGCGCCCGACTCACGATCGGAAGACCGAGGGTTCGATTCCCGCTTCGACCAGATATTTTTGTCGAGAGAATTTATCTGGTTGAAGCTGGGATGATTCTGCAACCGTGTTAGGAATCACACGTTAAAAGGTAAGACCTCGTTAGTCCTTAGCTATCTTCATTTCTTTCACCTGTGCTAGACATGCAAAAATGTTTACAAAAACAATTTCCTGTAATTTTAAATACCAATGTTTGAAAAGTGGTTCATATCGATTGAGCATGTTTAAGTGATTGTTGAGTTCTTCATTGCAATTATTCCTGGCAATAGAATTTCAGTGTTCCATAGAGCAAGAATAGTGGCTTTGCATGATGAAGGTCTGCCAAATCATCAAATCGCGGATAGGCTAAGGATTCCCCGCGATTCAGTTACCCGAATAGTGCCTTTGTACCAGGAAACCAACAGCGTTGACTGGAGACGTGGAACTCGGCACAAGCTCATTTAAGAAGAACGTTTGGTCGATTGATTTCCAGTACCACAATACAGCGGAGACTTGCTAGAGCCAAATTTGCAATCCGGAAGGCCATTAGAAGTACCCAGGCTACTTCCCAGACACATAGCCGCTCGTCTACAGGGGGCACAGGAATACAGAGACTGGCTTTTAGCTCAGTAGCGAAATGTCCTTTCTTTGGACGAAACCAGATTTGGTTAGTTAGTGATAGTCGGCGACACAGAGGTTGGAGAGGGCCAGGGCGACAAGAAAGACTATCTTTCGCCAGAGAAGTCGTTCCATACCAAGGAGGATCAGTAATGTTTTGGGGCGGTCGTTGTACGCAGCTTATTCCCATTCCAGATACTATAACAAGGGATAGATATGTTCGAAACATTATCGAAACCATTATTTATAGAGCCAATTTCATTTTCATAAATGATAATGCTAGAAGAGTACAAAATGCACCAGAGATTGAGAATATTCAAAGAATACGTGGCCAACAAATCCACCAGATATGAATCCCATCAAGCACATGTGGGATTTTGTCAAACGAGCAATCTCAAACAGATGTAATCCTCCTAACACCCTCCCGGAACTCACACTCGCGGCCCAAGAAGAATGGAACAACATCCCAATGAATACCATTAACGCCCTCATCGTTTCCATGCTCAGGCGAGTTAACACCTTACTGCAGAATAGGAGAGGACACACCTAACATTAATGCATTTTTGATTTCGCTCTAAATGGATAAGTACTATTCTGATAATGTCCATATTGATTCCAATTTGAGAGCCACCGGTAGACAGCTGCTTCAGCCTATTGGGCATCGTCAGTACCGTGCAGACGGTCCTCGATTAAATTAAATAAGTGCGTAAACGCAAGCGAGAGATAAGTGGAACCACCTATTGGTGTGACAACCAAGTCAACTTGCCAAGTTTTTATGTCAGTGTTGGTGGTTTGACAAATCAACCGACAACTGCGGTAGCACAAATTTGGGAAGCTGATCTGGAATGCCATCGGGAAACGAATACACCTAATAAAAATAACTGCGTAAACTAATAAAACATATACTCCTTTGAATGTAAATAATGCAGATACTTTACTCAAACCTACTCAAAGTTATGTTGAAAATAGCTTGTAGTGTTTGCGGCTGATAAATTTCGCGAGTATGTGATATATTTTTCTTGAAAATTACCAATAAGACTTGAGACAACTGAATACTGCAAGAGAATCTTCGAATAAAGTTTCTGATGCAATTTTACATAAATATTCGTATTGACCATCTGGAATAATATAATAGTTATAAGATGGTTATGAGTTCAAAAAATCGAAAAAGTAACCTCACCCTTAGTCTTATCTCCGGATGCTTTAGCATGGTGACCAACGTCCTGGACACCCTCTGAAAACCAATAAATCTTTTATCATATATAATACACACATCGCCAAAATTCTTGGACCCCCCTCGTAAATTGTAAAAAAATATTTATAATGGCTGGTTTTTTGTACATTTCATCTTCATTTCTTTCACCTGTGCTAGACATGCAAAAATGTTTACAAAAACAATTTCCTGTAATTTTAAATACCAATGTTTAAAAAGTGATTCATATCGATTGAGCATGTTTGAGTGATTGTTGAGTTCTTCATTGCAATTATTCCTGGCAATAGAATTTCAATGCTCCATAGAGCAAGAATAGTGGCTTTGCATGATGAAGGTCTGCCGAATCATCAAATCGCGGATAGGCTGAGGATTCCCCGCGCTTCAGTTACCCGAATAGTGCCTTTGTACCAGGAAACCAACAGCGTTGACTGGAGACGTGGAACTCGGCACAAACTCGTTTAAGAAGAATGTTTGGTCGATTGATTTCCAGTACCACAATACAGCGGAGACTTGCTACAGCCAAATTTGCATCAGGAGTACCCAGGCTACTTCCCAGACACATAGCTGCTCGTCTACAGGGGGCACAGGAATACAGAGACTGGCTTTTAGCTCAGTAGTGACATGTCCTTTCTGCGGACGAAACCAGATTTGGTTCAGTTAGTGATAGTCGGCGACACAAAGTTTGGAGAGAGCCAGGACGACAAGAAAGAATATATTTTGCTAGAGAAGTCGTTCCATACCAAGGAGGATCAGTAATGTTTTGGGGAGGTTGTTGTACGCAGCTCATTCCCATTCCAGATACTATGACAGGGGATAGATCTGTTCAAAACATTTTTGAACCCATTATTTATGGAGCTTGAGCATCGCTCAGGAATTGTTGAATGACGTTAACGGCGATCCAGATTGGCTCCAAAAGGTCATAACTGGTGACGAATTATGGGTATACGGTTATGGTACCTCTGGTATTGTGGCTTTTTGTCCAAAAACAACTCCGTAATCGTACCTCAGCCACCGTATTCGCCAGATTTTCCCCTACAACTTTTTTCTGTATCCAACATTGAAAAGACCCATAAAAGGACGACGAATGAGTTGATGAAACCCCAATCGTTTAGCAAGCTCAAGGCCATACCGAAAAGTGCTGATCAGAACTGCTTCGAGAATTGGTATAAGTGTATTATATCTGTGAGGAACTACTTTGGAAGGTACCAAATAGAAACTAATGAAAAATGAATATTTTTTGTGAAAAATGAAAAGTCACCTTTGAAGGAACATATTTTTCTTTTCATGACTATAGACAAGTGCTGAATTATCTTTCGAAAATAACCTCACCTCTAACTTTTCTGAAGGGAGCTGAAACAATATGCCCGACTCCATGGACTGCACCTGAAAAAATAAAAATTATTCATCAGTGAAACTTGATTTGGAATCAGTTTTATACTTTTTATAATTGAAGGAAAATCTAACCGTGTAATTTATTTCAACAAAATGTTGAAATAAACTACACCTTCGGGGAGTTTGCCACTTTGATATGACGATTTTTCGAGGTTCCAACTGGAGAAAATTCAGAAAATTTAACGATTTCTCGTAGGGCAGCTCTGTGTGCTTATACAAATATAGCTTCCCAGTTTCTATAACTCTTCTTGGGGTAAATGAAAGTAGACGAAAGTGTGGAACGCACCCAGTTTTGACAATTTTCGTAAAGTTTGAGTAGGGTGAATGATTATTTTTTTGGCTCACTTGCTACTTGTACAAAACGTTCCTTTTTCCCAAAGTTATAACTTTCCTAGCAAGATAGATTCTGCCGAGGAAGTACCAGGAGAAGACAATTCAAAAGCCCGCGTGAACGCATTGTCGAAATTATTTCTTGTAGCAAGGTTGGCAAAACTGTCTTACTTCGACGGCGAATGGATGAATGATACACAGTTTTGGTTTCATTAACCATTTCCTGGTACTTTCCTGACCTTGTAGTACGTTCTGTTATGAACGCAATTGTTTATGGAGTTAAATGAAAGTGTTATTCAATTTCTTTAGAATCCTTTTAGAAGGGACATTTTCATTTACTCTTCCATTTACTCTTTTCATGATTATAGACAAGTGCTGAATTATCTTTTAAAAAAAAAAGTACTATTTTGATCATTCCTATATTGATTTCAATCTAAGAGCCACCGGTAGACAGCTGTTTCAGCCTATTGGGCATCGTCAGTACCGGGCAGTCGGTCCTCTATTGAAGACAAAATGTGAATAACCAAGAAAAGTAACTGCGTAAACGCAAGCGGGACATAAGTGGAACCACCCCAGTCAACTTGCCAAGTTTTTATGTCAGTGTTGGTGGTTTGACCAATCAACCGACATATGCAGTAGAAGAAATTTGGGAAGCTAACCTGGAATGCCATCGGAAAACGAATCCACTTAATGAAAATTACTGCATAAACTAATAAAACTAATGAAAAAATTATTTTGAAAATGGCTTGAAAACTTTTGAAATGATGGATGACAAATTTCAGTATTTAAAGCTGATAAATTTTACAAGAATATAATAGGATTCGTAGGTATATACAATATGGAAATAATAAATACATTCATTATCAATAAGATGATTATAATTTCATAAAAATCTAAAAAAAGTAACCTCACCTTTAGTCTTTTCTGCGGGTGCTTTTCCATGATGACCAATGCCCTGGATACCCTCTGAAAAAAAACGAGAATAACTCTTTTATGATATGTAAAACACGGATCAAAACTCGATATACACAAAAAATGTGGGGACCTAATGAAACATATACTTCTTTGAATGTTAATAATTCAGATACTTCACTTGAACCTAGTTAAAATTATTTTGAAAATAGCTTGAAAACTTTCTGAATCAGGGATGACAAATATTAGTATTTGGGCTGGTAAATTTCACGAGAATATGAGATTTTCTTGAAAAATACCAATAAGACATGAAACAACAGAAGACAGCAAGTGAATTTTCGAATGAAGTTTCTGATGAAATTTCATACAAATTTGTAGGTACAGACTTTATGGAAATGATAAACACATTCATTATCAAAGAGATGATTATAAGTTCATGAAATCGAAAAAAAGTAACCTCACCCTTAGTCCTTTCTACAGGTGCTTTTACATGATAACTTCTTAGCGACTGGAGAAATGTACAGTGAAATGGAATAACGGGGTCTCTCAGTCAAAAAATCAAAAATCAAAACTCTGCTTTACTTTACTAAGCTTTCGCTTCTAGTGGGAAGCTTCTCAGGGCCTATAATTTATTGAAAATATTTTCTGAATTAACTTTGTAAAATAACCTCACCTCTAACTTTTCTGAAAGGCGCTGCAACAATATGCCCGACTCCATGGATTGCACCTGAAAAAATAAAAATTATCAATGAAACTTGATTTGAAATCAGTTTGATACTTTTCATTCTTGAAGAAAACTCTCATTTCAACAAAATATGACAACGGTCACCTTCAGAGAGTCTCTGAAGTGAATTTTTCAACTGACACTTTGATATGACCATTTTTCAAATACAGCATTTTAGTTTATGGCATTTATAGTTTCAAATATAGCATCTTAGTTACGATAACTTTCTTTGGAGTAAATGAAAGTAGACGAATGTGTGAAATCTGAACGCTCCCGATTTTTTGTTACAACTTTCATAGAGTTGAAGTAAGTTAAATTATCATTTTTCTGAAGTTTTTTTTTGAGTTACAGCTACTCAAAAGTCAAATATCGACTATTTCAGTAACCCACCTCTGCTAATGAAATGACATCTTCATTTCGTGACTGTATGCTGGGAATTTGCCACTTTCAATTGTACAAAACGTTAATTCTTCTGAAAATCGTAACGTTTCTAGCAAAATACAATTTGCCAAGAAAAGATCATTTAAAAAGCCCGCGTGAACGACTGTCGAAATTATTTCTTTTAGCTAGGTTGGCAAAACTGTCCTTTACACTCACGCGGAGTTTGAGCGGCATTCACAGTACTCAATTTGTTGATTAACCCCAAAAAGAAACTGAATCAGTTTCTTTCAACTTCATAAATAGTTGTACGTACACTACTAGGTCAGCAAAGGACCGGTAGTTGGTCAATAGGTAAAAATTTGTCTTAGAATTTGCACTGCAAATGGAATTTTATATTCCCGGGCCATACACCACGTCTGCGTAGTTGGCATGTGAAAGGACTAAAGCATCGCAGAGTATAATTTTACTTTTTTATTCAGGAATGCTCTGTTAGAATACATCATATAGGCCCAAATCTTTTATAACTCGTTTCAAGGGAAGTTCTGTTCCATCTATTACAATATTTATGAGGCCAGAACAACTATTTCGTGCCGATGTTCTACCAAAGAGCATGACATTAGATTTAGAGGCATCAACAGATAGACAGTATTTAGTTAACAAGGATAATAACATATCGAGATCGGTATTGAATTGCCATAGGGCCTCGTTAATTGAATTCACGTCGGATTCCATGTACAGCTGAGTATCGCCGGCATAACAATGCATGGTTACAAATTGCAGTGACCTATGAAATTGAGATGTGTATAAAACGAACAAGAGAGGGCCCAATATTGGACCTTGAGGAACACCGTTTTTAGTTTGTATCAAATCAGATTTTTCATTACTATACACAACTCTTTGAAAACGATTGCAAAGATAACTTTTCAGTAGTGCTACAGCTTGTATTAAAAACCCTAGGTAGCAAAAAGGAGTTCATGTTGTATGCGATCGAACGCCTTGGAATAGTCCAATAATATCAGAAGACAGGGTTTGTTATTATCAATAGATCTGTGCACAACATTCACAACTTTCAGGAGAGCAGACGTACTAAAATTAATAACGATAAACTTGATCACGAACACTTTGATCAATAAATACGTCAAATTTTTGTACGAGCACTGAATAACAACTTACCTGACACAATGTTTTTCGATGTTCCTACAACATGGTTGACGTTCTCAATTTTATCTGAAAAATCAAAATGTTCAACTATATAATTCAATAATGATGCTGATCATTCTATTCTAACATTCAAGGAATCTACAAATGTATTTTTCATGTGTTCACTGGGTTATTCACCTCGAATTCAACATCACTACTGAACATTGGAGAATCTGACAGAAAATTGTGCAGACATTCGTCAATTAGGTCTGATGAGTACCACAAGGATCTGTTCTTCGACCTCATTTTCAAATATGATATCACAATGATCCGATTGCAAGAAAGATATTGATTATGACACCATTTTTTCATTCTAATAGACACTAGTCGGTGATATGGCATGATAGCTAGATAACGACCCTCCACTGCTTCGTACGGATGGAATTCATAGAATTTCGTTGAAAGTGTACTTCCTAAATAATACCATTGTTCTAGAACACGGTCTATAATAATCCCATTCGTGTATTTGTTTTTCAAATGTCAGGGTGAATTACATCTGATGAACGTTTTCAATTATTATTATTCGACCTAAACTCCTTTCCCTCAACTAAGTATGTCTGCTTTGCATACAGACAGACGGTGGTGCGACGTACGAGAGATATTGAGGTGGAATCAATTGAATTTTCGTAGAGACTACAATTTTTTTCAAATAGCATATGTTATTCGTTGCTAATGTGGCTTTCTAAGAATGGAAACAATGTTAAAATAGCTTGATTTGTTGTAGTTCAAACAGAACTAGCTGGTATCCCAATCGCCACAAAAGAAATAACCAAGAAAGGAATTTCTGGCAAAAACATAACAATCTGCACTGATAGTAGACGAACCCTATTAGCCTTGAACAGACAACTTGTTACCTAGTAACAGAGTGCCACCAAGATTTAGCCAAAGCCTCGGTAGATAATAACATTATCCTGAGGTGGGTTGGAGGGCATGACAGGAGTAAAGGTAATCGCATTGGCGACTCCTTAGCCAAGGAAGCGGCTGGACTAAGACGTTTAGGACCCAGTGATACCTACGACTTAGACAATTACGGAACTAGCCAAACGTCACACCTATGCTCAATCTCTTAAGAGATGGGATGGAGTCAAAGTATGCAGTCTTGCCAGGATCACTCTGGGTGACACTGGAAAGCTGGCGCCGAAGAAATATCTGGCAATGACCAGGAAAAGTCTACGCTCAACAGTAGGATTTCTGCGGAAACACCTACATAATATGGGGCTACTGGACACACCTCTATGTGTGAACAGGAAGAAGAAACTGTCAAGCATGTCTTCAACATTAATGTCGTCAATAAGAGAGTGTGTGTTCGGCGAGTCTTAGCCTACACCTGCTGATATAAAGGAGATGTCTCCTAGTGACCTAGCCACCTTCCTGGAAAGGACAGAATGGACGATGACCTAGGAGAATCACTCTTCGAAAGGACATGTGGCCTAAGTGCTGTGGGCCTACACTCACCCCCTCTACTCTACAGACAGATAGACAGGTTAATTTGTTTTGAGTTGATCCATTACAAACAAACATGCAAACAGACAAATATTTTAAATACATAAAATTTCCCGGCCGATGATAACTGTGTCAAAACTATTTCCTAACATTTTTGGCCAGGATTTAGAGGTCTACATGTCTGACGTTTTGTCTACTACTGCGTTAGACATTATCAAAGGCGTCGGTTCTAACGCAGGAACTACCCTATGTTTTCGAATCTCTATTGCCTCTCCATATACTCTTGGATAGTAATTTTGAGTCTTATCGAGTATTACTGTATCTTCGAATGGAATGAGGCTCTGAAGTGGATCAACCCACAGCTACAAGGAATATGGTATACCCTGAGTGTTGCTGAAGGTTCTCTTGGGTCCTCAACTGACCTCAGGCTTTTTCTGATAGTTTTCGTTGACCTAAATATTGGTTTCACTTCTGTTTCTCCTAAATTATCTCAATCCGGACTGTAATATTTTCAACATAGAGAATCAACGTTTTTTCCTTGACTAGCCAAGCTGGGGTTACTTTGGCTTTCGCTCTCTTGGGTCGTAAAGCTCGCTCAAATTCTTTGCAGTACACATTCACTTTGAAGGAGTTTTTTAGGAGATTGAGTTCCTCAAGAAGACTCCTAGGTCCACAGATATGTCGTGCTCTCTCAACCAATGTTTCAATTATCCTCTTGCTGGTGGTTAGAGCCGATCTTGTTGAGGTATTTAGACATTACACTGTTAAATTAATATTGTAGGAGTTTACAATCGGGAATTACTCCCAAGTTATGAATTTCTTGGACTCTTATTAGTTATTGAATGATGTTACATTTCCGAAGTGGAAGATTTGGAAAATATAATGAAATAATTTATATGTTAATACATCCAATTTGATACGCATACACTTATATTCTCAAGAACTTTCTTGAGAGTTTTCAGTTGGTTGGTGTTTCGATTATCTTAAGAAATTATCTGCAGCAAAAAAAGGCAATAATTGATTATCTCAAGAAATTGAATTGATTGACTAGCAGAAGTCCTGTATGAGAACCTTGCGGGACCCCAGAGCGAACACTATGTGTTCATGAGGAGTGAAAACTTCGAATTTATGATAGTGATTGAACTCTGAATCGTAAAGCTTAAATCTTCTCGTAGAGAAGGCTGTATCATTATTTTATAAAGTTTGCATGAGGTTCAAGTCGATTCGTTCAGTAAAAGTATCGTTCTCTTGTAGATACTTTCATTATCATGATTGAAATTGACAATTGAGTTTAATTTCATTGAATACGTAATGAGTAAACAACGAAACAATGTTCAAGGTGCAGTTAGTGAATTAATATACGCCCTCGTTGACTATTACTCATCACGTTGTATGCTTATCAGCACTGAAAAGGGTCTGATAAAAATCTAAAATGGACTACCACTTGATGAAAACAAACGAAGGGGTAGTTTCAAGCTCTTTGTGAGTGTAATTCAAATAAAAATTGTATGAAATAATCTATTTGATCTTACTTACAAAAGGGTCGTGAAACCAAACCATTCTATTAACAGAGTTGATAGAGCAATTCATATGAAAGTATAGTCCAAGTAACCCATATTGTGCATACTTAAAGTGTCGGCGCACTCAAAGCTAAAAAAACCAATACAAAGAAACAAAGCCGCTGCCAACTAGTCCACGTGGACTGAAGAATTGGTGGTTTGTATTGGATGATTTTTACCAGCCGAGTCTTATGATTCGCTGAAGAGGCATAAAATTAAATTTGAAGTCATGTTACGGTGACGAATAGAATTTGGGGATAAGTATCACCGTTGTTTCGTTACTGTTCAGTGTGTTGAAATTCGATATTGGTGCAATTATAATTACTTGAAATTTTTGTTATCTGTTTAAAATATGGCATCCTTGGACAAGTACTAATAGCAATAACGAGTGTGATAACAACGCAGATTTTTTCTGTGTATTGATTCAAATAGCGATGTATTTTTCAACGTTTATAAGATACTACATGTCAAGTTTGGTTTCGAAGGAAACAAACTATTACAAGCAACATCAGATTTGACAGAAATTCCTTTCTCAACTGTACGTGAATAGGTCAAAAACAATCCTTATGAACGCAAGACGCGATGTGATACGGTATTCCCAAAACCTGTAGATGTTCATCTAATGAAATCATTGAAAAAAACAATATACAACTGTTACAAAAGCAATGAGAATCCTACAACTGAAATCATAAGGAAGAAATTGAATATTTTTGGCCATAACGTGAGCTGCTGTGACAATCTTCAGAATTGGATAAAGAAACTAGGATTTAGATTTGAAATAATACTGAAACGTTAAGCAGTTACGAAAAGCAAAAGAACAGTGGAATTGCGTAACAAATACCTAGAACAACTAAATAAATATAGACAAGAACAACGGCTAATTTTCTATTTGGACGAAACTGGGTACGACACTCACGACATAGTTACGGAAGGGTGGACTGATGGTTCGAAAATGTATACGCCTAACATGCCTGCCAACAAAGGATCGCAGTATTACTACACCAAAGGTTCCAAACAGCGCATCACAAGTATATTCTTGAACAATTCATTTCTGTAGTTTACCTTTGAACAAATCTTTCGTTCCTCCCCTGAGAATTCCCAATATTCCTGAAACAAAAAATTTACATTAAACAACGGAAAAAAAGTGAGAAATATCAATTACAGTTTTTTGTGTCGAATGCACCTCGTGCTGTAAACATTCTACACACACGATTTGAAAGAAAAAATACTGTCAATATGAATGTTAAATCAGATGAAAATCACTTTTTCTCTTTCAATTCATACCGAAACATGCATAATGGAATCGAAATTCATCTCTTCCAAACTATAAACAGTTCTAGTAANAAACATGCATACTGGAATCGAAATTCATCTCTTCCAAACTATAAACAGTTCTAGTAAAAAGATAGTCAAACGGCTGGGATGGAATTTCAGTTGTATGGATATTTTTTATGACCTGCCATTGTGAAAAGAGGATATGCATGTTTCTGTTACGGTGACATAAAGCCGTAAAGTTTTTGCAAGGTCAGTTATCCAGAAAGTTGATGATGAGGAAACTAGAGTTTTCACCCGAAAGTACAACAGAAAATTTTAATTTATCATCAGAAGTGATCTCCACAAATTTAATTTGGAAAATATATCACGACATGCTTCGCTATCACAGCAGCTTCTTCAACAGTGACTTGAATACTACAATTTGCTGCTCACGCTAATATTTATATACTACAGGTAACAATAATCAGGACTACAAATTACCTTAACCTCTACCAGAGGTACCTCTTCAATTATGATACCTGTAGCATATTACCTCACTTCTACATCAATAATAATACTTCCCCTGTTTTTAAAAAAATAAGTTCAATAATGGTGATCTATTCAAATCCTGTTGGTCATTCATTAGAATGTTTGAATTTTTAAGTGTATTAATTTCCATTGCTTCCAAATAATTCAGTTTCAAACCTTTATTTTCTATGTGTAAAATTTTGAATTCTTTGTTAAAGATATGATAATCTTCTAAAAGATGATTTGAATATGTTGAACTTATTTTCTTATTTACATAGCTCATATGATGTTCCTGGATTCGATTCCTAAATGTTCTGCTAGTTAGACCAATATATACTTTAGGACACGTTACACACTTTAATTTATATACTCCTAATTTCCCAACGTATTACTTGTTCTATATGCAATTTTAATATCTTGTTTCCTCAAAAATGAAGCCACATTTTCCGTTGTTTGTCCAAAATACGTTAAAGCTCTATAATTTGGATCACCTAACTTATCAACAGGAAAAACGTCTCAAATCGCTTTTGCTTAGACTTTTTTGTCTACAATATACTATATTGTGTAGCGTTTCTACTTCATATTATGTGGCCTGGCCGTTTTATCAAAATCACGTAGACACTGATATGGTCGGAAATTCATCCACTATTCGTTGATTTCATGGCAATAGTTCCTGGAGTAAAACAACAACCAAGCCACATATTTTAACTATACATTCGAAGTGTGTACACGCGGCTTAACATGAGTATCTTAGAATAAATACACCTCATCTAGTTTTTTCATTCCATTGTTGAACTGATTAGGATTTCCAATGTATGGACATTACTATGACAGTAATCGATGTTTTTATGTTGTGAGTTGAAGAGTTCAGTTCAAAACTATATACTCACTTTTGTCTGCATGTACGTTGTCCTTCACGAAATTTGTTACCAATTCTCCTCCTTCCCACATTCATATTATGTGGCCTGGCCGTTTTATCAAAATCACGTAGACACTGATATGGTCGGAAATTCATCCACTATTCGTTGATTTCATGGCAATAGTTTCTGGAGTGAAACAACAACCAAGCCAAATATTTTAACTATACATTCGAGGTGTGTATACACGGCTTAACATGAGTAGCTTGGAATAAATACACCTCCAGAAATTGGTCTTTATTGTTTCAAAGTCCATATAGTTTTTTCATTCCATTGTTAAACTGGTTAGGATTTCCAATGTATGGACATTACTATGTGAGTAATTGATATTTTTATGTTATGAGTTGAAGAGTTCAGTTCAAAACTATATACTCACTTTTGTCTGCATGTACGTTGTCCTTGACGAAATTTGTTACCAATTCTCCTCCTTCCCACACTCCGTCTGAAACAGAATAATTATTTTTACCGCGTGTGAATTGTATTTATTCGAAGGATTTGAAATTATCACAATATTTCATGAATATAAGATCATCATATAAGTCTATAGAATGTCTCATAAATATATGTATCGACAGGGAATATATGTATAGGCAATGCAATATAGAGAGCTATGGGCCAATATGCATCATTCTTATCCGTTACGAAGTAAGATATCTTGAGATTAAAAACTCACTGGGTATATCATAGTTTAGATACCAGTCTAGAAAATTCTTTGTGAGAAAACTTCACGATTTGGAGTTCCACAAAGCGCTGTTTTGAGGCCCATATTGTTCATCACATATGTTGGATGAAAATGTATATTTGATGTTTTTTGCATAAAATCTATGTCATGGTGGGGAAAGCTCCATAGGTTCATCAAAAACAAAGAGTATCCCAGATTCAAAGTAGGTGAAAATTCCAGGGTTCAAAAACTGTCAGAATACTCGGTATTCATCTAGGCATCTCTTAATTTCCTGATGAAAATAATATGGGCGCGAATGTCTCAAAAAAGTATATCTTATATGACAATTGTCCCAAAAATTGTCATTGCACTGTGTACTGGTAATTTTGAATTACTGTTCAGTTTTTCTTACTGTTTTTTGGGTATATAACCTTCTGCAATCTTTCTTCAGTGGTCGACCATTCGGAAAATGATCTTTTTTCGTTCTGAAAACCTGACATTCAAATCATCTAAAGGAACGATCAAGTATGCCCACTGACTATATGTGAAAAGTTATCTTTCCTTATACGACGAATTGGTCAAATTTCGGTTATGTGGTTGGTGACCTCGTTCACAGGCAGATAGGACGATGACAAACCTGTCCTTTGTTGTCCGCTTCAGCCTAGTTCGAGGAATGATACTCTGAAGGAATTCGCTTTCCAATTATCGGAAATCATCGACTTTATGTTGATGATAGACACTGCCTTGCACTGACGAGTGACCAAACAGCTCGAAACCGGTCTGCAAATGTGTTCCAATAATTGAAAATCTATTGCGGCAGTTGTAGGTATAGCCCACAGCATATGCAGGAATAACTTCAGTGAAGAAGTGGAATACCTTGAAGTGACCTTGAGATCGAATGGTTACAGTGCCTCTTATCAGGAAAGCCATGAAACCCAAGAACACCATGGTTCAAGAAGCGAAAAAGAATCAGATGGTTGCACGCGCATATTTACCGTTTATCCCTAGGGTCACGGACAGAATTGGAAAATTATTGGGTAAACGCGACATCAAAACAGTCTTCAAACCCACGAGGAAGATACAACAAAGCCTCAGGTCGACTAAAGACAAAAGAGACCCATTATCAGCAGCAGGGGTCTATCGCATACCGTGCACTTGTGGTAAGGTATATATCGGAACCACCAAATGATCTATGGGAACAAGACTGAAAGAGCATAAAAGGAACTGCAGACTAGGCCAAGCGGACAATTCAGCTGCGGCAGAACACGCACTTAGTGGAGGGGACCACATAATCTTGTTTGAAAATACCGAACTAATTGCCCCCAACCAGGGATACCATAGGCGACTGGTACGGGAGGCAATAGAGATCCACAAACACACGGAGAATTTCAACAGAAAAGAAGAAGCGGTGAACCTCAATCGAATATGGAACCCCATTTCAAGGAATTCGAGAATAACGAACAGAATGACAACAGGCAGCAAGATTGTTAATGTTCCAGGTTCAAGTACAGTTACAAGAAAAGGTATAAGTGCAGGTACAAATACAGGTACCAATACAACGGATTACCTTTACCAATACAACGAATTGTTCCTTTAGATGATTTGATTTGTAGCCAGTCTTCAAGTATGCCCACTAACTATATGTGAAAACCTGAAATTCACTTTGAAACTTTTGCCTAAAATTGTGAATAGCTCTAATTCTATTGATAAAAGATTTGGAGCTATTCACAGCTTGAAAGCGAAAGTTTTAAAGTGAATTTCAAGTTTTGAAAAAAGAAAAACAAACTTTCTGAAACGTCGACCACTATAGAAATAATTAAGAAGGTTATATACCCAAAAAAAGTAGAAGTATTGAGACTTCCACAAAAAAAACATGTTTTTCAGAGGACATCTGCAGTATTATTGCTGAAGGGATTTTGATATAGGCACTATCACCCTACATATGAAGTGGGGGGGGAGGAAATATAAATGTCAGAGGCCTTACAACGATGCAGAGATGCATGTCTATGAAATAAGTGGCAGTTATTTTTCCAGAATGCCAAAATGTCATTTGCAATATTTGGTACTCTTCCAAAAATGGGAGACAGATCAGGAAATGGGCCAAACAGAAACATAACATGGAAAACTTTGAAGGCCTTGTACAAGAATTAAGGGCGTCTCCAACGGGGGGCTTTGCTAGCTGCAAAGCGACCAAAGTGCGAGCAATTGACTTCCTTACCTATTGATAAATTCCGCATCGCATGACAAAACGTAAATAAATTCACAGGGTTTAATGTATATTATAGAAAGTATTGAAATATTCAGAATAACATTAAGATCTTGACATCCATTTTCAAAATCGCCGCCATTATCATCACGACTATATCAGATTTGCCATTAAACAGTGTAAAAATATGTAGGTAGGAGGTAAGTATGGGGTGTGTGTGTGTTGTGTGCATTGCATTTCTTTCTACGACAGCCGTTCACCAGCATTTAAGTTAGTTTTGTATAATTTGTATGCGGCATACCCAAAGTAGAAGTAATTGTTACGAACATACAATTTTAATTGGTTTTGTGGACAATGCCATCTGTAAGTGTGAGAGTTCACAAGAAACACCTAAAGCCTACAGTTGAATAAATCGACTACAATTCTTGTAAAACTTAGTATTGCTACTCGACGCTAGATGGCACTTGTTCAATGAATTCTCTGGAATTTGGTAGCAGTTTCTAGACCAAGTAGAATGTTAACGTACATTCTAGTATGATGTTTGATTTAGTTATTGTGCTGTCGAGGGCTTGTGAAGTTTCATACATTGATAGATGACATCTGAAGAAACTAGAGCTGTATAACGGGTACCCTAGCTGAAGACAGTTCAACATATTTTATAATTCAGATACTCACCCCTAGTTGAGTGTGCCACATTCGAAACAAAACTTGCAGCGGCGCCCACCTGTCCTGTAAATGAAAACAGTCAATTAGGGCGCAATATACGGAAATTGATTTATCAATTATTTCAATAGAACTGTCTTTTCTTTCGTGTAATTCAATTTTTTAATTGAAGCAGCTGCTTCAAAAGGGCTTTATCTTCCAGTTTGTGTCTGAAAGTCACTCCTTTGCGTGATCTACACATATACGTATTGTATCAAGATGGAGTAGTCAAAAGCCAAAAATTAATCACTACTGAAAATATAACCCCTTCAATTCAATCACTGATATAGTTTATTGCGATTTTCGCTGCGAAATGTTTACAAAAATGTGACACGTGTTTCGCTGTGCTGATCATCTTTCCATCACAATAAGCGGTATCAGTGGTTTTGTCGAATTACACCAGAAATCGTTTCGCAAAGTTGATAGAAATCGTTAAGGCTTCAATTATACGATATTAATTGGATTGAATAAAAATTCTAAAATGCTCTTACCTTTGACCAAACCTTCTACGGTGTCATCTAAACCTGACACTACATTCTTGACTATATCTGAAAATTATAATTATAATATGAATATACGGAATATATATAAACCTGCAAAACTGTAGACTACGACCAAAAAACCCAGAAAATAATTCATTTGGGTACCACTTCAAGTTTCCATCAGAAGTTTGATGTGAAAAAGTAGTCTACAGTTTTGCAGGTTTTTCCGGGTTTTCCTGCAGCTGAAAAAGCAAATGCGCCACTGGAATCAATGAAGTCGCCCCGGAGCGCCAATTAATT